CAGTGTTTGTTTTAACGGCACAAACGGGCACAAATCGAGCACAAACGAACTGAGCTGGTTTGGAGCGATTTGGGCAACGTGGGGTGGAGAGTGACGTCACACGGTCAAAAAAATAATGTTTAATATCTCAAACACCAAACCAGCACAAACGTTCGTTTTTGCGGCACAAATCAGCACAAACGTAGCTCAAATTAATGGCATAGTATTGGTGATTATTTCTTTTTATGGGGTGCCAACTTCACGGAGGTTTTTGACGGGGCTGAATGCAGCCCATATTCGCCTCATAATGGAAAGATGATACATTTCCGGTCTCTAGTGATTCTAGTCAAATTATCACATAGCTTACTGCGCACATTTTTATATTTAGTTGTATTTGAAAAGTATCAGGTTAATTAATTCAATCTTTTTATGCCCATTTTGACATGGACCGGAACACGAGAGCATCCAAACGGAAGTTAGAATCAGTCAAGGCGATGCTCATGTTCATGATTGTCGCAATTTACCCCCTAGTGGCAGTCACATGGAACTTTCGAATGGTCGTGAAGCAGCCATTACCTTCTGCCTATTTACCATGGTAAAATAAATAATGAATGTGTGAATTTGAACAATTAATAACAGCTCATTTTATAGAAATAATGTTTAAAGAATAACGTTTTAGTGTTGAAATATGCATTGAAGCATTGAAATATTTAACCAAAGATTACATCTGATTCGAAAATTCCACATACACATATGAATGGAACTCCGGTACTAGTCTCCATTGGAAATGAATGACTTCAGGTCTATTGTTTGTTTGGGAAAAAGCCGCTTTACACTCTTAACTGACTGATGATATACCCCGACATCACATTTAGATTATGGAGATGTCTATTTGAAGTATGCATTTACATCTGCAAGACGTATTTTTAGAGTGTTTGCTCATCTGCAATACATCTATAGGACGTTTCCTATCAGATGTCAAATAGATGTTTAGAAGATGTCTTTAAGATGTTTATGATTTAGAATGTTTTTTAAACTGACATCTTATAGATGTCTATCAGATGTTTGTACACAGCAGATGCTTTCCAGATGAAGAGATCTTTAGCAGACACATGTGGGATAGTGAACAACAAACACTAAATCAGTAAAAGAAAAACTCTTTTATTCTTTAATACCATATATAATGCAACAATTGCATATCTTTGGCAAAAATAAACTTTATAAACTTTTATTAACAGATGTTAGCTTACAAAATCAAAAATCAGGTTCAGACTGCCACATATATGGCAGAAGAACATGTCAAAATCGATGGCGATGTGGCAACTCAGTTAGTGGACCTTATCTTAATAATAATAATAATAATAATAATAATAACAATAATTAATAGGCAGCTGTTTTCAGACTTGGCCTCAAATTCTAAAACTACTGCTCTGTCCCCCTCCCTGCATTAATACTTGCATTCTGTAATTAGCACTATGTACAGCTTAGAGGGGACGAATTGGCAGCCATGGTTAAAGTGACAGGGAAAGAGCTTTATAAGGATAGGCAGTTTTAAAGTAATCAACTCAAACAGAAAGTTCTGGTTTGCCAGTGTAGGGGGGCAAGTGGCAGTTATACTTCACAATTTCACATGCTTGGGTATATAAAATCCTAATGTAGCCTCAAACAAACACTTAAAAACCCGATATTAAACATACAAACATTCTGGGATCACAGGGAATACACAGCCAGGCAAGTTTTGTGAGCAGAAACTTTGGCGATCTCAAAGGGGACAAAAAAAAAACCCTTGGGTTAAACATGGCCGGGAGTCCAGAGAGCTCTTAGTGGCACAGTTCTCAGTTCACATCCAGTAGGCTCTCCCATTACTGTCATGCTCCTCAAATATACTGTCCACTCTCCCCAGCTTCAATTCCTGTGGTCCTTTCTCCCATGAGCAGCACCATCCGCAAGCTTAAAAGATGGGAGAATGTCTTTGTCTCTGCTTGCAGGCGCGTTTACTGTGCAGTTCACATTGTCTCTGGTTTCATCTGAAGCCCTGGGAACTCTCTGGAGATCTGGAGCAGCACAGCGCCAGTTCAAAAGCAGCAATGGAAAGTGGCGATTCACAGAGCTCCCCCTGCTGGAGGCTTTGTCACACAGTTTAAACCAAGAAAAAGATGGAAAAGACCTGATTTGGGTAGAAGTGACCCAAAAAGTCATAGAGCAGGAAGGGGAGAGAGTGGTTCAAATCTTACAGTAGAGGTAAAGAGGTTCTTGTTTTGATTGGCCGCTATTTAGTATGCTCCAAAGCAAGCAATATGTGCATGGGCAATGATTTAATCAAGTCAGTGCACATGGAATAGCACAACACCTGATTATACAGATTGCTAGCATCTGAGAAACATTGAGGCTGATGTGCATGCAGCAAAAGCTGTATCCTTCAAGCTGTTCTCCAGTCATAGTGGTCAGGATGGGGATGCAAAACTGATCCAATCAGGACGCACGGGAGGAGCCACATGGTTTTGACATCATAACTGCGGCAGCAAAAGGCTCCCAGGGGCATGCCGTCACCACCACACGAGATATAAACCAGCAGTACAAAAATAAAATAACTACAGGTATTTAGGTAACTAATTATTGCATTTCTTCTTTTGTATCAAGTTTATATTATGATCCAAAATCAATGGCACTTTCAAATTTCACTTTTTTTAAGCTGTTTTTCCCTCTATAGTTAAGAAGCATGATAGGTCTTGGGAGCTTGTAAAATCCATGCATTCATTTTCCATATAAATAAGTTTGTGTTGATTTAGAGGTGGAAGCATGCAAATCTTGAAGTTTTTTTTTTTTTTTTACCAGTGTCTCTCTCTTTTTATCTCTCTCTTTTTTTTTTACGATTAACATCTTCAAACTCTCTTACTGTTAAACTCAAATGATGTGGGCCATTCGTTCAAATCGGTTTCTTTTTCTGTACATAAAACATGTCAGTATGGCTTTTCTCTCCTGTGTTTGTATTGCCATGTTTGATGAGTGGACCAGAACGATATCCCAGTTAAAAAGACGAAAGGAAAGAAAATCATCCCAACAATTACAAACAAGAAGGAAGATACACCAAACCAGAAGAGAGAGGTTGGACAGGCCACAGGATGGAGTTACAGAATCAGGGTCATTTCCTACTGAGTTTCCTGCTCTTGCGTCTTGAGGCGACTAAACTTGTGCGAATACCGGCCAGGTGTAGGAGAGAGCCGGCCGCCTCCTTGAGCTCCTCATCCACATCTGGCCGAGAATCTCTTCTGCTCCTCTTCCCTAAAAGCGGACCCTGCAGCGGGCTGCGTGGCCATCGGGCCCGGCCTTCTCTCTCCTGATCACCGTGCAGAGCCAGGCTGAAGTTGACCGGCTGTGAAAGAGGCATCTGGCGAGGGCAGGGCGGGACAGGGGAGCTGCTGTAGTTGTGATCCTGCTTTGGATCCCGACTCACAACCACCAAGTCCCTTCGGGAGAGATCTATGGGTCCTTCTTGGTCATCTGGGTCTGAGAAATCATAAGCAGAGTGATAACTGATGATCAGAGACAATATTATGAATAACAGTATGAACAAAATTGTACGATGCGGAATAAGTAATTTACACAGTAGCACAATAGTAGGTACACATGCTAAAATTATTGTGTTTACATTTATATAAATATATTAATATTCAGTTATTTTCATTGAAATAAAATTTCATTCAAATGGAAACTGAATTAAAAATGTGCTTATATAATTAATATTTGTGGATAATCCATGAAAAGTATTTAATTTCTCCTTTAATTTGATTATTAAACTCAAATTTGATTGTTTTTTTATTTGAATTAACTAAATTTTTTGTTTGTTATATTATTTGGAACTTGATAGACGCAAACCAAAAGATATCATTATACACACACACACACACACACACACACACACATATTTATTTGACAGAACTTCAGAAGTCAATGCTTATGCTCATCAAGGATGCATTTGTTTGATCAACAATAGAATACAAACAGAAAATTAGTGAAATATTATTATAATTTAAAATAACTGTTTTTTATTTGAATATATTTTAAATGCAATTTATTCCTGTGATGACTTTTCAGCAGCCATTATGTCAGTCTTTTTCACATGAAATTATTTTAATATGCAGATTTGAGGCTAAAGATTTTTTTAATTATTATTACCAATATTGAAAACAGTTTTTCTAAGATTCTTTGATGAATAAAACAACATTTAAAAGAACAAACTTCATTTGAAATACAAATGTAACATTATAAATAGATTGTTCTAACGCTATTTTTAATTGGATGATCCCTGTTTGAAGCCAATAAACAGAACAGCCAATATACACATACACATGTGATTGCTGTGATTATGTGAACAAGTACCTAGATGCATATCTTGATTAAAATAAACCTGATGTAAAACATGAATAAAAAGAAGGAACAAACAAAATAGGACAAAAATGAGGTGTTGGTGTATGTGATGGTGTTTTCTTACATGAGTTAATGTTCTGCTCAGAGGCAGACTTTAACAGCATCATGGCAGTGGCAGCATCAAAATCACATTCTGTAAAGAGAAAGAAATGTTTGATGCAAACAAGTATTGACTATGTGATGTGTATGTGTGTTTAAGTGAATGAGTCACTTCCACCCAGGAGCGAAAAAGCCTCTCTCTTATTTCAAAGTACCAGTGCCTTTGTTGTCAAGGTTACCAAATACAGGAAAGAGATGGCATCTATATGCACAGTTTAGAAGCACCAAGTATGGGCTGAGAGGAACAAAATGAGTTGAGATGAGTGATGGGCTTCAATGTGTGATGATACGTCTGATAATGGTAAAAGTGTGAAAGTGTAAAAAGTGTGAAAAAGATGTGACCGGGTCATAGATTTTCAGAACGGGCCTGATGAAGTCTACTAACCTTTTAGGGCACAGCCCTGCTCTGATGTGAAAAGATGATGAGGAGGAGACGAGGCACTACAGAAGAGAGAAAAAGAATGAGAAGATATTTAACAAATCTGTTCATATATATATATATATATATGCATATATACGGTACATACACAGTATATATATTATAACCATTATATTATATATTTTTATATTATATAACCATTAGCCAATACTTATTTTTGGATAATCCAGATAAATATTTTTTATTTATTTAATTTAAGACTCAAAACAGTAAAATATTATAATGTGCTGTAAGGATTTCATTTTCTTGATGGTAAAAATCATGATGATCCAACTCTTTTTTGTGTACCATATTTAAAATAAATATTAAATAAATAGTAACACATTATTTTAAGGACCAATATTCACTATTAACTAGTTGCTTATTAGCATGCATATTGCTAGCATATTGGCTGTTTATTTGTACTTAAAAAGCACATATTAATACCTTATTCTGTATGACTATATTTTAGATCCCTACCCAATACCTAAACTTAACAACTACCTATCTATTAATAAGCAGCAAATTAGGAGTTTATGGAGGCAAAATTAATAGCAAATAAAGTGCATTAAAACTAAATACATAAAAGTTTTTAAAAAAAAACCTGTCTGAAGTACTTTGTCTTTCAAATTTTTTTTTCTTAAGATACAAGTTATTTAAAAATGCACTTTAAAATTTGTGTTAATTAATTTAAATCAAATTGTTCTGAATCTGCAAAAAAGTTTGAATCAAAAGCCAATTGATTCACAGTCAGCTTAAAGATTCACACTACTATATTATAAATACATGGGAAAAACAACATTTAGAACAACTAATATACACACACCTGTGACCGCAGCTGAATATAAATTTAATATTTACGCAACAAGCTGCACCATTTTTGGTAAACAACCCACATTAAACATAAGCAAAGCATCATGACACATCAAAACCAAATCACTCTCACTATATTCAACAAAGCTGTCTACACTGGAAGTGCTTGTCTGACAGTTGTGACAGTTCATAGAGTAAATCTCTGAAATCCTAGCAAGCAGTATGTTACTATCCTAGTAAGAAGACTGAAGCATGGATAAATGTCCGAATTATCCATCTGTCATATAATCAGGCCAGTGTTGTTACCTAGGAGGGGAAGCAGGGGGAGTGCAGAAGGCATGTGCATTCGGGAAGTGCTGTTTCTTCAGGGCTTGCATCAGCATGGGCCGGAACTCGGGGTGAACACACCACAGAGAGCCTTTCCCATTGGTCTAGAAGGGACAGAGAGGGGAGGAGTCAGAACCGCAAAAAGCAAGCATGATATCAGCATGCTGGGGTGAGGACAAAGCTCAGGTTAAATGACAACAGAACCATCTGTCTCTCTGTATGTACACTGTGCATTCATAAGCACATCATAAATTAGCTGCAAATGATCATTTTAAACCATCATGAAGCTATAATGACCACATGGGAAGCATGTGGAACGGCGGCTCCTATTGTGTTTGCATGGGGGTATTTGTGTGTGTGAATAAAGGACTCATCACCCTTTGTCTGAGGTGTGGTCCTGCAGAGGGAATATGACCTTGACTCGCTTCACTAGCAGTGTTCATAAACAGGAAAGAGGAAACATTGCCATGGCAACAGACACCAGGGCTGAGACATATGAAACCCACAGATTCACACAATGTCACACGTTAATGAAACATACCATCCTCACCGTTTCATAAATCATTTTGCCATCTACGGTTCACGTATAAGAAATGAAAACATCTGCCTCACTTCATTTAACTGGCTGCGTGCCCTGCTTTGAACACATCGTTTTTTTCTAAAAACCCTAAACCATTATCCCTCTTGACAACCCTGTTAGCACACTGCAGTCAGCTGTGCACTACTTTATACACTGACCCAGTTAGTTAAACGTCTGAGCGAGTGCTCTGCAGCAATGTTGTGTGAACCGCTCTTCAGAAAAATATGGTATTCTAATTTATTACAAGGTTCTCTGGAATACTTGATTCTGATTGGTCAGTCGCAGCATTCTGAGGTCAAATATTTTTTTCTGTAATGGCCACCAAACTGCATTTGAGCGTTGTCCCTGGCAACCAGTCTCACTGTGCTAGTTTCATGTCTCTTGCATAGACTGTATAAAAACATGGACGTAGTGTCCGTGACGTCACTCGTAGATTTCCGAAGAGCGTTTTTGAAGCTCAAAGTGGGTGGAGCGGGCCGTCGCCATCTTGGCAGCGCGTCACTCCTAGATAATCGAAAATGGGCAAAAAGGCGGGAGCTGCTTGCTGAAGCCACGCCCACCTAGCTCGACGGCAGGGTCAGCAGCGGCAATCCACCTGTCACTCAAGTGGACACGCCCTTAATTATGCAGAACTTTAAGGCTTAATATAATTTAAACGGATGACTTATAAAAAAATTCACCCC